AAATTCTGCCATTTTCACACAAATATATATTCAAGCCAGAGAGTCTGTTCACATTCAAAGTCAAGATTAGTAGATAAAGAATATCTTTCAATTTCAAAGCAATAAATATTACAAATGTACACAAAAATATACCCAGAGATGTAATACTCCCTATGAGTGTGGAACCTAGTTTTCATTTATTATTGAAACATAATTGATTATATATATATATTTGTGAGGTACAGAGTTGAATATCTATACCTGTGTATAATGTGTGATGATCAAACCAGGATAATTAGCATGTTCATCCTCAAAAAACGTAATCATTCCATGTGGATCCTGGTTTTCAATGCCTGGCTTATGTTATAGCTCTCCCACAGATTATCTGAGTAATTCTATCCCTGAAGAACTATCATGGGATGTATCACTAACTCAGTCAACAAAGATGCGATTCCCTACTATGTACCCAGGATAACTGGGTTGTGTGTTTTCTTGTAGTTTTTACCAAGTTTGTTCACATAAGACTCATTGGCCCAAGAAATAAGCAAGAGGGCAATGAAGTTTTTTTTGTTGTTGTTTTTTCCCTCTTCTCCTTGTCTTCTTCCTTCTTATTCTCCACAAGAAGACTTTAAGTTCTTAAGATCAGGGACTATATTTTACTTCAACTTTTTACTCTCCAGGAGTCTGGCAGAATGTTATGCACATAACAGGTGTTTACCTAGACAAATGTAATTTAATTGTACTCCACTTTGCTTAGCCCAGCTCAAACAATGTCTTCTGCTGCTCCCTTTCTATATTGCAGGCTAAGCTTCTCTTGAGTTGACCTTTTCTCTTAGCTCTTCTGCCCACAGACTTGAATTTTGTTAAATAATATCAGACTTGTGCTATAGGAAGAAGGGCCTTTAAACTATCTGTAGGTCACTATTAGATGAAGGCCTCTTCCCGTAGGGCATAGGAGGATGGCGAAAAGATTTGCTGTTTTCCAATGTCCAGTTGCTCAATTTAGTAAATAAGGCTCAGGGTTGCTGGGTTTAGTTGTATAGGTTGTTCACTGTACAAGTCACAAGGGGCTAAGTTCCAGCCACTCTCTGCTCCCCAAGCTGTTTTACTCTGGTTCAGGGCTGCATTTGTCCTGAGCAAATAAGTGGACCATATTCAAATTCACAAGAAAGCCACCAACAATGTTTTAAATTGTGTGATATTTAGCCTGAGATGGCCTAGAAAAATATACTTTTTCTAATATGCAAGAAAACCTCATATGAGCCAGCTGTGGCTATTAGAAACTTAATTAACTTGGTCCTCGAATCATGTAGGGAAAGTGACTAGTTGATAGACTGAACTTTTTACCAATAGTTTAAGTCTCTAGAAATACATCTCTTTTTTTCTGTGTTATATGAGAAAGTGAAATTTCTTATAAGAAGGAATGCAATTATAATTTTTGTAATTCAAACAATAATAAGGGAAATTTTATTAGAAATAGTCATGGGAACCATTGCCAAAATTTAGGTCTCTTTCTCTACTTTTGTAAACTATAGACTTAACTCCATTTATTTTTAAAATACTATCTTGTTATGAGAACAAAACTTTATTTTCTTGGTTTTGCATTTTTGTTTGTTTTCTGTGTTCTGTTTTTTATTTCCACTCCCATCTTCCACCCTGGTATTATTGTGTATTGGGCAGAAAATGCCTCAAACACCACAAATCTCTGTAACAGCTGCTCAATGAATGGTGTCTTACTCAATGGACTACAGTGAGTGACATAGAACATCCTCACTGCTCAGCTACTTGCTATTCACTGGTCTCAGAAGCAGAGATATTTATTAGCTGTGCTGGAGCTCCTTTAGGTTTTATAAACTTATACAGATGTTTCCAATAGCCCTGTCCCATAATTTGCTTGGTTCTTAAGGTGGCCTTATTACTACACAAAAACAGATGAGGAGAAATAAATGGTTGTTCTTTACATGTTCATGGTTGCTGGCTGATCAGAGTTTGAAGGAAAAAGGTGTTGGTATTTTTTTTTTCTTTTTCTTTTTGAATGGTGTTGCTATTTAATAGAATGGATTCATTCCTATCCACTTTCTCTGTCCTAGATGAAGTGTGATGGTGCACATTAACATACTGCTTATGGATTGCACTTTCATAAAAATAGAAGTGTTCTAAATTTTCATGGCTGTGACCATTAGCAACAAGAATGTTCTGAGTTGGATTGTGAAACTACTTTAGAAATAAAATTGGTTGCAATTTAAAAAGAGGAATTCATGTGAAAGAGATAATGAGCATGAAAACCATTTGCAAACTGTAAAGTGCAGTACACATAGAATGAAGTATTACTCACAAGCTTATAGGACATCAAGGACACATTAATTGCACATCGTTAATATACTGACAATGTATAGGAATGGGGTGTTCGGCAGTTCAGTTAGCCAGAATATAAAAAGAACTTGCAATACTGGGATTGAGATAAGGGACTTCTAAGGTCACAGTGCATGTTGCTAGACTAGGAGCTTGACTGATTTTAAGAACATAGAGTCATTTCAAATTTTTTAATCACAACCTCAAAAAAAAATTCCCCCCTCAAAAAAAGCAGAGGGAATAGACTGGAAAGTAGCAAACCATAATCTTGTAGAGCTGGGAAAAGTCTTAGAAGTTGTCTTATGATGCACTATTTCCCAAACTAATTACTGATAAACTAGCTTCAAGTGATGCTATGTAAAAACAGGAATTCTGTGGTTTAAATCTGGGGAAAAACTGCATACTACATCCCCACTATTGGATTACTCACAGACAAACTAAACATATGGTTAGGGCACCCACAAAGAAGAGCACAGTTATTTTTTAAATAAAATTGTTTTTGAAAGAATGTAATCTTTTATAGTATCAAAATAATCAACATGTAGAAAAATCAAAACTTTGTTAGACTTTTTAAATAACTTTATGTTTTTTTAAAAAAAATCTCTTGGGATTCTATAGGAGAAAGGCAACACACACACCCTAATCTCTCTGGAAGTAAATCATCGTATTTATCTGGCTCCTAGGAGGTTATGTCCATTAGTATTTTAATGGTTTTGAATAAAACTGCAATTAAGATAAACATTTCATTTAGTGTATTCCAATATAATTTGACTAGGAAGTGCTTCTCTCCCACCATATTCCAACTCCAGGGCATGATGGTAAATCCTTTCTCAGCACTAGAGACCTAATTTATACTCTTTGCAGAATTTTGATATAATCCTTGCACTTTAAAAAAGAGGAAAATGAAAGGTTGAGTGATAAGTAGGAAGTGACAAAGGTGAAATCTGAACTGAGGACTTCTGATTCTGCATATTAGAATTTTAACTTTGCTTGAAGATTATACTTTTCGTATCCTACTTATCTTTAAGGCTTCATATGCAGCACAAAGCAAAATAGATAACTTGGGTGGGAATTGGAATTTCCATAGAATTTCCAGAAGGAAACAAAGTTATCATTTCCTCTTCTGATAAGAGCCCAGAATCCCTTTTGCATTAACAGCCTCTTTTAACGATGGAAAAAAATGGATACATACAAAATGGAAAGTCCTGTGTTTTAGCTTGGAAAGTGGAATCTGGTATATTAATATATTTGCTGACGTATAGCCCCTTAATTTATAGGCACATCATTTATATTTTTAAAACTTTTCTCCTGTGATCTTCTCTTGTGATATCTGTAATTTACTTTCCACTATCTTTAGTACAGACATGGTGGTATTAAATGTACGTGTCACAGGCTAAGCTACTTTCCACGGGCACTCAGCTGCCCTAATCAGAATGGCTGCACAACAATGTGAATGTACTTAATGCTGCTGAAATGTACACTTAAAAATGATTAAAATGTAAATTTTATATTGTGTATATTTTACCACAATAAAAATTGACTACCTTAAAAAAGAAAAAAAAAAAAAAAAGATTTCTAATGAATGTGTGTTTAAGAAATGTCTCTGTATATGCTGTTGCATCCCTCAAACTTTTTCCAGTGATATGAGAAAGGCCAGAAGTTTATAGAAGTACTTTAAGCTATCCATAACTCAATTAGCATAATGACTGTTAGAAATGGGTTGCCTGATGAAAGTAGTGGTATGTTAATTATCATAATGATGCTGGAAATGAGCTGCTATTTGTGAAATCTGGAGTATTCAAGATAAGGTGGATTGACCAAATTATGTTAGATATTGTCCACTATACAAGAACAGAAAGGATATAATAAGAATGTGGAGAAACTTGTAGCCTCTAACTTTAGGATATTGCTTGACGCTTGATCTCAAAATGGGATTGTCATAGAGTAGATTTCTGGTGGCTCCTATATGAATAAATAGTCCTCCCTACCTCTGAAAAATCATCAAATCTAACCTGAATGAATTTTTCATATAAGGTATGGTCATACTTTAAAGAACAGAGCTGAGACTTTATCAAATGTAACAAACAAGTTGTATAAATCATTTTGTGCCTGATTTCT